AACATAGTTGTTAGGGGATATTTATGATCGCTGTATCTGCGACAGCACGGAAGCATTAACAATGGCATCGGGCTTTCTATAAAACACATCTGCAAGAAAGACAGGTAGATAGGCTGACTATCAATCATCAGGACACGTGAATAATTCTATACTCACTGGCCCATCTGCTGTTAAAATCAGCTCCATATATATATATATTATATGCTTGCTGTTTAGCAGAGGAGCCACAGCAGTGAGTAATTGTTATTTTTAATTCTTTAGAATATATATGTTCACACATCATTTAAAAAAAATCCAACAATGATTAACAACTCTCTATGAGTGTATTTAGTAGCAAAATACACTCAACATTTTCAGGTTATATTTGTAGTTAATTTATGACTTGTTATCTTGCCCATATTTCAGTTAATTGAATGGGATCATACAGCTCCAAAACAAATAGATTGCATCCCATAGTTTGGAGGGAAAAAATGAACTTAAGCTCATTTTTAATTTTGGATCTTAGAAAATGTAAATTGTGCACACAGCAGCTATCTATTTAAGTAACTTTTAAGGTACATGAATAGAATAAAAATTATAGCCAAATAATAAAAGGGATCTTCTCTGTTTTTCATAGAGTTCACGTAACTTCCATTTATGCTAATGGGAGTTAAACACCTGCTTGGCAAAGAAAATAGACCCCTATCTGTGAAAATAAATGTGTACAGTATATTTTCCAGATACATTATTGAAATCAAACAACCAAATATGCGTGCTATATAAACAAAGCATCATGTGGTCTATCTGAAAACATTGCTATTTCATATTTTGCCTTTTTAGTCATAGGTCCTGAGATATTACTCATGTCTTTGCCATGTAAACATAACAAAAAGGAGCAAAAAGAGATGGACAAACTCAATCTGGTAATTTCAGTTCAGTGAGATCACACACAATCCTCTGTTTACCCCTTCAGAAGTTCATAATAAATTGCATCAGTAAATCTGGATTCAAGCCACTACTCTGCCATCATCTTAAAAAAGTCATGGAGGATAATTGTACATAATAGAGGAGGGCATGATCAGGGGGGCACTGTGCTGGGACTCCCTGCAGCAGCTGCAGCCTCAGCTGGGACAGGAGATGAGGCAGACGATTGTTAACGAGTGGTGACACCAGAGTCCCTTTCTGCAGTGCCCCTTGTTGAATGTTAAGTCTCACAGGAAGCCAGGTCTACCTGGACTTGAATGGCTATGTCTCCATTGGCCAGTCACAGACGTCTCTTATCAGAGGGTTCTTGACAACAGGGTGCACAGAGAGGTGGTCCCTCTCTACTCCAACTGTAGTAAGCATCATAGGTAGCTTGCCCCAAACTCTGCTACACTGTCAGTTAAAATTACAGTGTGATCAAAACAGGGTGGTGGGGAGAAGAATCAGAATATCCAGTAAGCCTTTGGCTCTATTTTTATGGATCTCATGTTCTTTATAATGGAAAGTCAATGTTATTCAACATTTTTAAATAGTTTTCGGAAACACTAAGATCACTTGATGTGTGCTACATTTAACCACATTTTTAAAGAGTTCTTCCTAATAGTCTAGGTTAAGCCCAAATTTTTCATTTCTGATTTGCGTTGTGAGTGGCATTGAGAGCAATGAACTTGTGAATAGGGTTGGCTATAAAATTTGCAGGGGAGCCCCGTACAAAATGAAAATGTGAGGTACCTGGCTGAAAAATGTTTGCAGAGCTTTAAAACCAAGTTAGGCTAGTCTTTTAAATAGAAGACGCTGAGATTGCATAGGATGCACAACCATGAGGCCACTCTGACTATTGGAATGGAACCTTGGCAAAAGATAGCCTGCTGCCCCTTCTATCATCTGCAGCCTTATAGAAGTCTCAGTCAAACCATGGAGAATGAATGTGCAGTGTCTTCTTACTGACACCTACTCCATGTACCAAGGTCCCAAGGAGAAAATGGATCAACAGAATGTTCTCTAAAAACTACCATTTACTTTCTTTTACAGATCATATTATGAGGCTTATTTGAAAGTATTTAATCTTCTTTCCTAGAGAGTTCCACAAAGCAAAGCTTTCCATCCAAAGTCTAGCATAACCTTGGCAAGAGGTTCAGTTTTAATGGACACAGAGGACTAACTGTGAATAAAGAGAATGGTAGCAGTCTACTGGCAATTTGATCCTCAGTGCCATATTTTTTCTCTTCCTTCATATTTTTAACTTTTAGAATCACCTCCTGCTCAAAACTCTTCCCTCTCATCAGCATGCACCGGCCTTAGATTTGATCTAAAATTCTAAATGGGCCAGTTTGTGAAGGTACTCTGTCTGGCCTTTTACAGTTTAGGTGATTTGGAACTGGCACTATTTAGAGGTGTTCTTCTCTCCTAAGAACAGTTATGCTCTGTCAGCTCTGTGGACAATGAGACAGTAGTAATTACAATAATGCCAGCATTTTCCCATGAAGTGATCTACCACTCTCAGAATGGACTTCAGTTGCAAGTCATCATTCTTTTTAGTACATGGAGCCTCTACAGAGTTGGTCTTCAGAAATTTAGAATAGGGTATAGTGGTGAGCAAATGAAACAGAAATCCTTCTTCCTTTATAAATAAATATAAGGTATTTTTGTAAATATCTGACAAAAATAACTAGGGCAAAAAGTAATTAAGACAGAATTATCTTGTTTCGTTTGAGATTTTCTGAGCTATAGATTGTGTTGTGTATAATTAAACACTACAAAAAGAACCTTTCAAATGTATAAGCCCAATTCTGATTTTTGGTCATTCATGGAAGGACTAGAAGATTATGTGCGTGTGTGTGTGTGTGTGTGTGTGTTTTTTTTTTTCCTGGCAGTGAATTTATAGAGATAAACAACCCTACAAATTGTTTGGCCTATTATATGTCACAGAGATTTTTCTATAGTCTGTCTAGACTCCAGACAATAGGCTAGACTGGCCTATAGTTGCAGACATTTCTGTAGTCTGTAATATCACTTAGAAAAGTAAGGGCAATAATACAAAAATGAAAACCAGCCTGACCTGCCAGTACGACAGTAGAAATATGAGTATAACAACGCTTTACAATTTAGAAATGATAGTAACCTAAAAGAAGTTTTAGCAGCTACATATCAGCCAAAAGCAACTTTCGCAAAATCATATATACTCCACAAACAAGTCATATTCAAGTAAATCTGTCCACAGGCTATAAAATCACTTTATTGCTAAAACTCTGTATATATTTTAGGTTGTCTTTGTTTATTGCATAGAGATGTATTGTGTGTGCATTATATATAATATTTACAGTTAACATACAAACTTTTCATAAGACTTTTCTTTAAATAAACCAGATTGTGAACCATTCTACTTTTTAGTCTATTTGGTTAAAATAATTAATGTTGCATACAATCTTAAGACAGTTAAAGGACAGAGTAAACTAGAGGTAGAGAAAGTGTTTCTGAATTTTATATGCTTTTGAGCCTGTCCCCAAATTTATTTCTCTCCCACAATAAGGAGAGAAAGAGAATAAAAGAAACCTTGTCTTTTATATTCTTTGCTAGCTTCTTTAAGGCTTAGGAAAAGAACCAATAAAGAGTATTTGCTTTTGTGGTTGTTTGGTGGTGTTTTGATGAATATCATGAAAAAGAAGCATTGGCTATAAATAATACTCCCTGAAGAAAATATTGCTGTAAAATCATTGGCAATATTTTATTGGCAATATTTTAGATTCAGAGGGTATTCTCTTTCCCAAAGACTCCAAACTATGTTAGAACTCACCGGACCATCTGCATCTGCATTACAAAGAATAAATATTAACAGAATCTTTGTTGCTGTAAGAGTGACTCAGCTTGTGGCATTAGGGGGTATCTCACTGGAATAGATAACATGCAGTGAAACGGAGAGATCCTTCTAGTTGTTTTACTTAGAGGTGTACATCCCAAAATAGAAAGCTCTTCTCTCTAAAATCATTCAGTTTTTGCCTCTGACTGAATTAAAAATCAAACAAACAAAACCCGTCTAGTTTATTTCAACATAATCATCTTTACACTATAGTATACATAATATAGCATCAGATGCTAAACTGTAAAACAAACCATGTAGGATTGCCAATTTATAGCATGTTTTCTGATGAAGCTATAAAGAATCCTTCTCGGTGTGATCAGCTCAGCTCATCCATCAGGCACTTCGAGGTCTATGACATTATGCATATAAATGTGGGCTATTTCCACCCCAAAATGGAAAAGTTAGATTCATATTGCTCTCCAATAGCATTACACAATACTCTTATTTTGTTTTGCTTGAAAGCACAATATTTTCCTCGTCTTTAAGGAAAAATATCCTTTAATCGCGTCAAAAACAAAGGTCAACATTTTCTCATTTAGTAAAAATATTGATTGATAATGTAATATTAAATAAAGATTGTATAAAAGTTTAAGGAGCTCTGTCTGAAAGAAGATATAGGGTTTTTTTTTTTCTTTCATTTTTCGTGTGCTATGATATTCGGGAATACTTTATCATGTAACAAGTTACATCAGAGAAGTATGTATCACATGTAATAACTTTGACTACCATGAAAATGGCTCAAAATTATGATTCACCTTAGTTTTTAATTGTCTACCCTGTAATTAAAAAGGAAGAGTATACATTTTAGTTGAGCATACAACTAAAATTTAACTTTTCAAAGTAAACAGTGAACCACATTTAGTGTTAGTATGATGAATTTGGCAAATTTTTCACCCTTGTGACATTAGTGGGAGGTGCCATGGTTCGTGTCAGCATAGCTGGGAATTCTACAGCACTCTGAAAGGAACCTGGATCATTAAAGTGTCCTGTGTGTGAGACAGAAGGCCAAATTAGGCCCTGAGGAAGTCTTGCCAAACTCCCACTGAAGTCAGTAGAAATTTGCAAAAACACTTGAGAGGGCTCTTGTAGCCCACAAGGTCTTGCCAATAATTTCACCAGGTCTTTAGATACCCAAGTCTATAGAAAAAGCAAAACCCCCAAACTAAAAAATATGTACCTCTCCGACATCATAGATCCAAATACGGCCTTCTGAATCCCCAACGGCAACTTCTTTACCGGCTTGAGCCCATCGAACACGGTTTAGGGCAGACGCCCCCTCAATGGCCACGCTTGCTGTCGGAACCTGCCACAGGGGTTACAACAGAAATAAAGAATCTCTGAATATGAATTTAAATATACGAATTTTCAATGATATGTTTAACTGGATGAGTCACCGCTGCCTTCATGTGCATAAAGTAATATACATCCCTTGTGCAGGGGTAAAAAGGATTCATTGTTCTTAAATCATATGCTCCACTGAATTAAGGAGTAGACAGAAGAGACACTTCAACAAAAAAGGGAAAGAGGGAGAGTCTTTTTCCACAGTCAGTGGCCAGTGAGTGACATAAATATTTCTTCAGATTATGCAGGGTGTACATCCAATATCCAAACATAGCAGCTAAATGTAATACTTATGATCAGGTTATGCTTATAGATCGATGGAGAGAGAGATTTCAGGACTTACCAAGATTAAGGATACCGTAAAAGGCAGAAAGGGCTTGTATGGTGAAAAAAAAAAAGAGTCATATTAATATGACTTCACAGCTAGAGGAAACAAAGGTATTGATCCCTCAAAACTTCATTGGGAGGTGATGATGAGAAAAAGAAAAGAAACTGTACAAATGAAAAACTTTAGAACGTCAGATTCTCCTTTCTTTCCTCCTCCCTCTGGCAGTACCAGGGTACTGGAAGCAATCCTCAAAGTTGGAACTGTCCCCAGAGTGATATTCTGATAGAATGTAGCCACCTACTTTCTAGAAAATATCTTACATCTACTTAATAAACACCTGAAATCCCAAAACCTTTGTAATTACAATAATAATTAGTAGTAAGGTGAACTGGAGGTGCTGAGATGGAACCTAGAATATTTATTACAAGACCCTTAGCATTTAGAAAAAGAATTGTAGTGGGTCCAGTTGTGTCAAGCTCTTGACTTCATCGTTGGAAGTTTATAACATATAAAGATCCAATCTCCGAAGTTCTACAAGAATGTTGAATAGGAAATGTTCAACATATCATTAAAAAATAAAAAGGTAAATGTTAAAGCAGACAGAAAAAGTATATAGTGAAAAGAGGGCCACCAAGATCACTTCATGCCACTGTTTAAGACCTGCATCTAATAAACATGTCATATTAGGATGGAAACACGATGTGTACTGTGCCGTACTACTCCCGGCATTCTGTTATTCTGAGAATTGGAACCATCTGTTTATATGAGATTATTGACCCAATACCTATCTTTAAAATAGCAATAAAAACTCCATCACATGTAAGAATCTATGTTTAAACTTAATCTTGAAATCAATAAAAATTCTTTTACCTGCTTAAGTCACTGCATGCCAATTGTGAGCAAAAATGTATAACAAAAGTCCAGCTCATTTACTTTTAAAAAAAAAAAATACACAATTTCTACAATAAAGGTACCTGCTGTGCAGGCTGGAGCCTGAATTTTTAACTAAACCTTTCAAAGGCCAAAACAATGTGAATTTAGATGGGCCATAATTCTGTCAATACACTTTATTATTAGTGTGCTACTCACAAAACAAATCCGAGATTCAGCTATAGAGTTTTCAGGGTTAATTTTTAACTCTATAATTTAGAGGGACCATACACAACTTCATTCTCTGTACTTTCTATACTCTTCTCAATATCAGATTTTATGAATGATCTCAAAACTGAGTAAAAATGTTTAATCTGAATATGAAAAAATGTAATCACTCAAAAAACCCTGATTTTTTGATACATTTCAAATTATATTGAATACATTTTAAAGAATTTTGTAAAACAATGCAACAAGCGAACAATTAATATTTTAACCATTTAAAAATAGCTTTCTAGATATTCTAAATGCTAAAAAAAAAAAGACTTATCACAGCCTTAATATGTGGTCCCAAAAATGTATCAAATAATTGGTGGAAATAACAAAACAGATTTTTATTGTTTTATCCAATAATGATCTTTCAAAAATTGATGAATTTATAATGAAAATAATTCATACACTGTTTCTGATTTTTATTTATACTTCATTTTCACTTTTTTGGGTCATTCATTTTAATTGCAAAGACAGGTAATATACAGTATAAATTATGACATTGTGCAAAGGTCAGTAATACTGAGGTTGGGGCGAGGAACTACACTTGCATTGGAACAACTAAGATGAGGTGGTCTGAAAGCACAGTAATTTGAACAGAACACACTGGGAATTCGGGGTTTTTCCTTATACAAATCTAATTCCTAATCTGTCAAATATTTGAAAAATCTTGTTCAACTTGTTATAAAGAAAAAAAAAAGATTTGAGGGTATTAAAAAGCGTTCAGCTCATTACTAGATTTGAATTAGATTCAATATAACTACTATTACTGAGAAAGCAGAATTATGTTTACCACAAAACTAAATGTTTTGCATGCCCAGTAGTGATATTTTTTAAGTTTTTAAAAATGTTTAGCTTGTAGTTGTGTCCTGAGAGCTAAAGAAAGAGGAGGGGAAAATTATGCTTGGTAGTATTGCAATGTTAATTTTCTTTTACCTAAAATGCTGATTTAAAAAAAACCAGTTATTTGGGAATTATTAAGGAGTTTGTAGAACATTCACATCATTGCATGGTAGTTGGGTATCACCTCAACATCACCTCTGATTTCTCTATATAATTTCTGATATAGGGGTTCTCCAAAGTCAATCTGGAAGATGTGTATTTTTTGGTTGCTTTAAGTGTATGAACTTATTTTTAGCATGTAAAAGTAGTACGATTTTAGTCAACAGTGATAAAAGAGTTTAGGAAATCATTACAATGTAGAGTAATAAGATCTCTCTATTAAAAGTATTTTTAAAGTAATAATTTTATAAACATTCTAATATCTGAAGTGATGGGCATTGCATGTACTCAGTGCCTTTTGATTATTTTCAGAGATGCTTCATTACGTAACTCATCCTTGTCATGTAGTTCTTGTAGGCAACAGGAAAAATAGACATACACTGAAAGATTTAAAAAAATGTTTGGCAGTGGTCATAGGTGAATTTAATATTGCAAGATACAATGACTCAATAATAACACCTGAAGGATATTTCCCTGCCCCCTTCTGCAAAATATACTAGGGGACTCTGCTCCTCCTCATATCCTCCAGCTGTAGGCTTCCTAATTAAAAAGGCTGAGCTGTTTCCTGCTCAGAGCACTTCAAAAGACCTTTCTCTTGTTCTCCACTTGACATATAGTTTGCAACACTTGTTCCTCTTACCTGTCCATTCTCATTTATAGAGAACTGAATGTTCATGTTTTCTTAAAAAAAAAAAAAAAACCAAAACCTGAATAACTGAATTAGCATGCCAATAAATTAATAAATTTGAGGGAGTGGAAGAAAGGAAAAATGCCTATGGCATAATTTTAAAAAAGCTAAATCTATGTAGAATAATTTTTAAAAAGAATACTTATGGTCAATTGCTTTTATTTTTAAAAAAGGGGAATTTTTCATATACTGTAAATGTGACATGTTATTTTCCAAATTAAAAAAATGCTGAGGTTAATATACATGTTCAGAGTTAGAAACTATTGTAGACATCTGCCTGTGAGCTCCCTATCTTAGAAAGGATTAAATACCTTGTAAAAATGAAATGGAGGATAGATCTAAACATGAAATAAACAGTCAACAGAATCATCTTTTATAATTCAAAATAGAAATCGTGCAAATAGCGAACACTGACAAATAGCCCTTTTAAAAAGCCCAATCTAAAGTCAGCGTCCACAAAAGCGTGCTTTTCCAAGTGTTTGCCCAAAGAGTTACTTCAACACTGCTCTGAAATATGCCCAAGTGGGGAAAGGGATGAACACCTACAGTTTTGCTTTTTGCAAAAAAAGAGTCGTCAATTGTCCAGGATCTGCCACTGTTTAAGGATGAAGTGAGATGAAATGATTTTTGGCCTATGCATCTGTCAATTCCCTTCAGAGCAGTCAACAATGAGGGGTCAGCAGCCCAGCTGCAATTGGAGGGTCTGTCCAAAAAGAGGCCGATTTGGAGAGCGGGGGAGACGGAGAGAGGCCGACTGTGCCCCCCCCACCCCCAACCCTCCCCGGTCCTGGCGCCTGCGCTGCCGCTCACCTCGGTGTCATTGTTGAGGTTCCAGAGGTCCAAGCGCCCCATCCCGTCCACGCAGGCAAAGAGCGCGGGATGCACAGGGGACCACATGACATCGTACACATAGTCTGCATTGTCTTCAAAGGAGTAGAGCGGCTTGTTGTGCTGTAAAGTAGAGAGACCGTGAAGACTTTGTGGCGCTGCTGCTGCCTCGGGCTGTCTAGTGAGCCTAATTAAAAACTTTGCACATTCACAAAGTGTCATAAAACTTCCCGAGATGAAAGTCCTCGAAAAGGTGAACCGCAGCTTTAATGTGACTAGAACTGTCCAGTGGCATAAATAAATACCGGGGGTGGGGGTGGGGGGCTCAAGAGGCTGGGGGCTGGGACGGGCGGAGAAAGGCGCTTTCAGACACAGTTGGACGAGACATTCCAGACAGGTGGACGGGACTGCCCATTAGCTCGGAATTCTCGCCCCTTTGCGAGTCGTTCTGAGCCCGAACCCAAACGTAGACCGCAGGGATCAGACCCTCCAGGATGCTCTGGTAGCCTTGGCGGTCTCTGCAGCCCCGAACCCTTTGCATCGAAGGCAACGCCTGCCACCTCGTGGTCTTAGTGTACTGCTGCAGTGACTGCTGCTGCTTCCAGTGTAACTCTGGGTCAAATTCATACTTTAATGGTTCAGCTGAGACTGGGAACGGGGCAATTTTAAAAGGGATTTGTAGCTCTTCTGAGAGGTGAAAAATCTCCCCTTCTAAGACCCTCACTTCTCTACCGAGGGCTGGTTCACCCAAGTCAGGTGGACTGATGTCACTCGGTGAATTTACTCCTTAACCTTCATAGATGAGGAACCACATTTCTGGATCACCCAGTATTTCCAAAAGTCTTCAAATTGGTGTTTTGTGGGGAAATGCATTAGCACACTCCCAGTGCATACAAATGCTTCCACTCTGGAGGGATACAATAAATTAAAATGGCACTCTTGATTCCAGTGAATATTGTCACATCAAAATAGCACAGAAGTCAGAGGCAAGTTTGAAAGTACACCAGAAATAAAACGTAATTGGACTTCATGAATTATTCATTCCATCTGGCTTGTCTTATTCTAATTTCTGCATAATGGCTTTACTAATCCCTGATCAATTAATGTAAAATGAAATTTAAATGATAATGAAAGCCCTAGAGATAAAAGAAATTAAGTATTCTTATATCCTCTGACAGAAATCTAAACAATGGGAGTTTTTTCCCCAATGTCTTCTTCATCCAGTCAGCTGTCTATACTCTCTTCATAGATTCCACTGAATGCCTGTACAGGCCAGAATTCTAAGATAAAAAAAAATAATAATAATAACATACAATATGAACAATCAAATTCTTTCTTCATAGACTGTTCAAAGAATGTATCTGTAGGGAATCAGCTCCAAATATTAGAGCAAACTCCCAAAGTGAATGTAAAATGCATTTGCTGAAATCAAAGTAAGAAAAATCCTGTGAGAAGACAATACAACTTCTATAACCTAAAGCTAATGCAAAGATTTATTAAGGCAGTAACTACAAGGAATTTCTCTTTCCGAGAATTATATTGCTTTGGCATTGCTTAGAAGTGAACACAATTGTAATACTATTACAGAAGATTTTCCATGGGCCATTGTATGTATGAGGGTGGGTAGTATATGTGTGGGATGTGTCTTTTTTTTAAATATAAAATTATTTTATGGCATATTCATTTGAAAAAGAACATGTGACTTTGAGATCTCGAAAACAAAGGGATATTACCATTATCATATTCAATAACTCCTTTGTGCCAAATTGTTTATTATATATCATGTTTGCACTGTGATTTGGAACAAAATTTATTTGGCAGTGTATGTAAATGTAGCTTCATTCTTCCTTTCATATTTTAAAGCAGGTTATTCAAACTATTGATACCTTCTCCAGAAAAATCAGAATATCTAGTGATAAAGTGGAATGGTATATCCTTTTTACCTTATTATAAAAGGTAGTATGGAGTAGTTGGCCCTTCACTGACCACTTGTGAATATTACATTCTAACTCTTAGTAAAAGGTTATTGTCACAACAAATTCTTTATTTTATTTTTGTAGAAGAACTGAGGGGTAGGCCAGAGGTGTGTGTGTGGGGGGGGGGCAGGGAGGGTGAGAGGATTCACCAGAAACAGAGCAGGGAGCAAAACATGTGGATTTACTGAAATACGCTGCTAAGGGGAGCAGTGGGAGAGACAGGAGAGGTCTGCTGCGCCATATGTGGATTAGCTCCCTGGCAGGGATTGAACTCAGGCCACAGCAGTAGCTGCTAGCATGATAGCCCTAAGTCTTAACCCCTAGGTCACCAGGGAGGCCCACAGCAAATTCTTGATTTTATAGCTAACCAGTCACTATTTATTAAAGAACACATTGTTCTTAAAATATGGGAAAGACTTAAACATGCATTAAAAAGTCAGTGCTCAGCATCCTCTTCCAGTAATTCAAGTGATGCATAACTATGAGTATATAAATGTCTAGAAATGGATATAGACATACAGACATCCGGTATATAACATATCTATATCTCTTGTGCTCATCACTTAGAAGACCATCCAGCTTTAAACATTTTTCCAGGAACTGATATTATTTGTATGTTAATACTCTTCATAAATTATCCCATTAATGGCTAGTATTTTTTTTAACCTTGTTTCTTTTTGTAGATTCTTCTTTGAGAAACTTAGTTAAAATTGAAGTATACCCTGGAGACTTTGCTGTTTAAACATCTAGAAATAAACTTCTATTGTTCTTGCTACCTCAAACCAGTTTTCTCATGTGTAATAGCATTGTTTTGAAAAACTATTATTCCCTAGGTTTTCTCCAACTTCCTTATCATCCCCACCCCCTAGACTGAACCTTCCATTATAAAAGTCAGTAATTCGAGGCTATAGTGTGTGCTCGTTTGGGGAACGGAAAAGGGTTTATATTTTCTAAGATTTTGTTTTAAGCTTAAATTCATAGGTTGGCACAGTCATCGTCAGCATTGACCCCATTATCAGTGACCTGACAGCTATGCACCACTAGTTTCTGAGCATAGCATGCAATATTCTATAGACATAGGCTTACAGTAGTAAGCAGTGCTATTTTGAATATTAATTGTGCATTTTTCAATAAAGAAAACTTATTTTGTCTTATTTGGGACTCAAAGTATAATCTGAAAATCTGAATAAAAATTTGCCTCAAAAGCTTAATATAAAAAAAAATTATAGTATATACATATATATTAAATTAACATTATTATAAATATGCCAGAAGCAGCAGGGTTTAAAGATTTTGTTTTTGAATTTTAAAACATAAATGTTTGGATTCATAAGGTTGTCATGACTTGCTCTTGCATTATCATTGATTTTACAATATAAGTTTTGAAAGTAGAGAGTTTGGGGGATAAATTTGGAAAAGATTTTGAGGAAGACCCCGTGATATTATTTGTAACTCTTCAAGCTACAGAAGTGTCGTGATTTGAAATACTTAGTCTGCAAAATATTCAAGGCCATTTAGAAAATTAAATATTATTCCAGGGGATGTTATGGTAGAAAGCATTTTTAAGACAACCAGATTTCATTATACAAAAACTCCTTCACCCTTGTGTTTCCCTTCTAATGCCATGTTTAGGATCAGTGAACCGGTAAAGAAGAAAGAAAAGGAAAACTGCACTGTTACACAACCAGCTGCACGTGTGACACATGCCAATGAAATAAAGCCGTGACACCCTGCGTTTTAGACAAGTTTCCAGGGCTATGCCAAAAATGCTAGAATAACCCGACATAGATCAGCTTGGTTTTAATGCCCTGACTCTCAAACAGAGCAGAGAAGCAGGCTACCACTCACCTCCCAGGCAGACATGAAGGGCAGGGAAGTGTAAATTGTTGGGTGTTTGCTGTGTGCCTAATGTTTGCTGTGTGCCTAACTCGATACACACATTGTCTAATTTAATCCGCATAAAATCTCTGTAAGGTAGACGGTATTTACAGAACAGAAAATTACAGTTCAGGAAAGTTAGTAACTTTCCCAAGGCCACGCAGGTTATGAACGGTGGAGTTGGATGCGGTTCTCTAGTTTTTCTAGCTGTTGAGCATGTCCTCTATTTGCTGGAACGATGTGATTCTCTATAAAACATATTAGTGGTCTCCAGTCTTCAAAGAGAAAAAAATAGTGACCTCTGTTACCTCTGTTCTTTGCTGTCCCGTTCAATTCAAGCAGTATTTACTAAGCACACACTGTGCATCCTGTAAAAAGAGTTTAAAAATATCCCAGTCCAAATGTTTATTTACTTTCCTGAATCTGTTACCATTACTCCTGAAGATGTTACCCATACAATTCCAGGCATCTTTAACACCTAGTGTCACTAACAAACATCTTTTCTCCTGAAAATTAGGAAATAAGATGGGGATTGCCTTTTAGCCAGCAGAGATTAATAGCAGGCCATGCAAGGGATTAATAAGACGCCAAGATCTAGAATCCAGTTCACTGAATGTCTACACAACTTTGGGTGAGGGACTAAAATTATATTATCTGAAAGGTGGGGTAACACAGGGAGCATGGTCAGAAAAGGCAACAGGAGGAAGTAGGAAAATTTTAGACCTTTTGGGAAATTTAACTGACATCTTTGGTTGTTTCTCATCCATAATATGAAGGGCTGGAACAGCTGACTACCAGGGTTTCTGCTGGTTTTGTGACTCTGTGTCTCTATTTTGCAGTATGGATTGAATAGAATAAAGTATGTGAAAGTTTTTACAAAGAGTTATTCAGACCTAACCATTATAATTAAAGCCATCTTCCTTGATGTTCTGTGGAATCCATTTTACAGTGATTTCTTTTTTCTTTGTATTTTATCAAATTATACCTATAAAAATGTACCAGAGTGTTTATAGTGAAAAACTTGAAATTATGAAAGTTAACAGTAGATCTTCTATGTGACCTACTGGGGACGGGAGAAAGCATATTAAATTTATCTACGAAAGGCAGGTACAGAGTTCAAAAATGAAACTTTACGTCATCGTCCATCAACATTTTACAATAAAGACTGGATCTCTGGATCTAAGCTTCGGTTTTTCAAGTATATGTCTGGCAATGAGTAGAGCTGCATGTTTTTCCAATCAGTTAACTATAAGATGATTTCATGAGAGA